TACTTTCCCAAAGTTGCTCTTTTTATTACATGTCTTTGGTAAGCTACTTACTTTCATTACCACTAAAACATTTATTAATGCAATATTAATATTTGACACCCTAAGCCAGAATGTGTATTTGGAGAAAGAGCGTTCATAAAGGCAGTTGAGGCTGTGACATCATAACGATGGGGCACCACTTCATTAGGACTTATTTCTTTATAAGAATAGACACCGTGAGTATGGCCACAGAGGAAAAGGCCCTGGGAGGGCACAGCAAGATGGCCATTCACAAGCCAAGGAGAGAGGCCTTAGGAGAAACCTTCATCTTCAACTTAAGCGTCCAGAACAGTGAGAAAATAAATTTCTGTTCAAGCTGCTTCAGTCCATAATATTTTGTTCTGGCAGTCCTAGCAGGCTAGCACAGTTGTCATTTAATGTGTTCTTCTTACCAAATAAGTAAGCTGGACATCCAGAAAGATACAGTTAGGGGACACAATTGTCACAATTCTAAAAAGGCTACACCTGGCCTGGCTGGCTCAGTCAGTGTCACACGTGACTCTTGATCTCAGGAAGTTGTGGGTTCCAGCCCCACCTTGGGAGTAGAGATTATTTAAAATTTAAAAAAAAAAGGGCCACACAATTATAAATTTATTATAAAATTTAGAGGGTTTAGTATAGAGCTTCCAATTTTACTTATACTTCTGTTGATTTTTGCTTCTACTTCTCAAAATCACTCTATGATACAGGTAAGAGAGAAGTTTCTGTGGGAGCCAGCAACAATTCCTGTTTGTCCACCTGTGTCAGGGTGGCGTCATATGCCTTTTCTTGCTTTTCTGTTATGGCCCTCCCTGTATGAGTCCTTTTTCCGCTTTCCTGACAAACACAAAACTGTCATGCTTCAGGCCATATACATTTGGGAACAGTATGGTAACCAGCTAAGTGTGAAGTGAACTCTTTTATTTCTGAATGAGATGCTATTTAAAATTTTTATTTGTTTATTTTTTTTAATGTTTTATTTATTTCTAGGAGAGAGAGAGACAGCTTGAGCAGGGGAGGGTCAGAGAGAGGGAGTCACAGACCGAAACAGGCTCCAGGCTCTGAGCCGGCAGTCAGCACAGAGCCCGCCGCGGGGCTCGAACCCACGAACCGCGAGATCATGACCTAAGCGAAAGTTGGACGCTTAACCGACTAAGCCACCCAGGCGCCCCTGTTTATTTATTGAGAGCAAGTGAGCACATGTGAGCGAGCCGGGGAGGGATAGAGGGAGAGAATCTCAGGCAGGCTCCATGTGTACTGTGAACCCAGGCGTAGGGCTCGATTTCACCACCGTGAGACCATGACCTGAGCTGAAGTCAGGAGAGGGCCGCTTAACCCACTGAGCCAGCCAGGAGCCCAGTCGTGCGCTCCTAAAATTAGTATTACTTGAGATGCGCCCAAATCCTCCATCCAAATGACATCTCTGGACAGCTGGGTGGCCCGGTTGGTAGAGCATCCGACTCTTGATCTCAAGGTCGTGAGTTCACGCCCCACGTCGGGCATGGAGCCCATTTAAAATAATATGTTTATCCTCAGGGAGTAGGCTGAGCGTTATAGAGTGGAAATAAGGTCGAAGCCACGTTTCACAACGAGCAAAGCCCCCTCCCCCTCCCCGGCGCCGGAGCATCACTAGCCTCGCCTGGACGCCGCGTGGCGCCTCGCCGGGAGCCCCTGCGCACCCGTGGCTACTACATGTCCCAGCAGATGCTGCGCTGGGCGGCCGCACTCAGGAGCCAATGACGGGCCAAGACGAGGGGTTTCCGTGCGTGCGCGTCGTCTCGGGGCCGGGCTTCCGGCCCCGGCATCCTGGTCATTTTGGCTTCTCGCACGTTCTTTCTCACGGTCATACTCTGGAGCCCCGGGTTCAGACTGTGGGTGACTGACCGAGAAAGGGCGGGAGGAGGCCAGTCCCCGGCGACGCCTTCCGGGCTGCTCCGCGCCGGGACAGGGACCGCCGTCCAGGTGTCCCCTCCGCCCACACAGTCCGATGGCGGCGGTGGCGCCCAGGGACCTGGCTCAGGTAAACGCGCGGCCCCCGGGCCCTCCCCGCCTCCCCCCACCCAGACCCTCAAGGTCATGGCGCCGAGCACCTGCTCGCGTCCCTGCGGCCCAGGTCCCGGTGTCCGGGTTGGGGACGCCCTCGTGGGCGGGGACCCCGTGTCTGAGCGCCGGCGTGACGGGGAGCGGGAGCGGGTGCAGGGGAGGGGCCGGCTGGTGCAGCGGCTGCAGGGGCTCCGGAGGCGGGAGGATTCGGGGGTGTGGGGTCAGCCTTCTGCCCTCGGGGGACACAGGGTGTGCGGCGGGGTCACGGGGTACTGGCGGGCTGGGCTGTGGTACCTCCGTTCTGAAGACGCTGGAGGGCCGCGAACCGAAGAGAGACACAGCCCGTGTGAGGGTGTGAATAGCTTTCCGAAAGCTGCTCAAGAGAGAGATGACAGGGGGTGATGAAGACGAGGAGGCACCGGGAGGGCGGGTCTTATCGAAGGTCACAGAGCTGGTGGGGGGAGCACTGAGGACTGAGGCACGCGCTAGCCCGTTAACAGGAGGTCACCTGGTCACAGGGGAAGCCCCGCTCACCCGGTTGCCTTCCTCTCCACACGGTTTCTGGAGGTTGAAAAGGCTCTCAAGGCCCCTACATAGGAGCGAGAGGGTGGCCCAGCCCTTCGCTTGCCCTGATACCACCCCTGTGATGTATGGGATGGTGGTGACCTGAAACTTCCGCCTACTTGCCCAGCTGTTGGGTCTGGGGCCTTCGACATACCCCAGGTTCAGTGTCCTGAACGTTCCGGTTTTGTCAGCCAAGGTAAACAGGTGCGGAAGTTTATCCCAGGACCAGATACCAGTTTGGGCAGATGCCTGGAGCCGTGCCCGAGTTGGAAACAGGGTGCAGCGGTCGCTGTATCAAGAACAAAAAGGAGGAGATGAAGACTCGGGCGGGTAATGTGGGCTGCCTGAGAAGTTTGGCAGCTGTGAGCGGGGTATGGGGAGTGCGGATAGGAGGAAAGAGTTGCTGTTAGCCCGGGTTTAACAGGCTCCATCTGGCTGCACAGTGGACGGCAGATTATGGGGCTAAGGGAGGAGGAGACAGGGAGCCCAGGAGCAAGCCATTGCTGTGATCAGGTTAGTGTTGAGGCGTAGGGGTGGTGGCTGTGGAGATGGAAGAAGGCGTTGGACCTTCCTCTGATTTTGAAGAAGGCGCAAGGAGACTTGGAGCTGTTGTAGGTGCGGGAGAGAGGGGAGGAGTGTGGTCCTAGCAGCTGAAGCTGTGGAAGCGCCATCAGCTGGGATGGGGACGTTGGTGGTAGACTAGTTTTCTGGAAATATCTTAAATTTTTTGGCTTTTTAAGAGTCTGAGAAGTTTCAGAGAACTGAATCAAAGCATCAAATGGGCCACTGGACACAGGTCTGGAATGTGGGAGAGGTCTAAGATGGAGACATCCAAGAGTTGGCTGTTGAGTGGACCGAGGTGGAGCTTTGGGTCACGTACAGGAGGGGCTGTGCAGCGTGGTGGCGGTGCTGTTAGTGGGTTGGGAAGAAGAGGGCGCCTGCTGGAGGAGAAGTTCAATAGTGGGAAAGTGTGGGAGAGAGGATGATCCCACTCCCTGGGATGAGTGGACAGGAGATGGCTGTGGAGGCAGAACTAGAATTGAATCAGGATGACAGTGAGGCCTGTTTATTAGCTACTGTGCAGACTCACCAGAGTTGTGGTGAGCTTTTATAGCATCTGTGATGTTTTAGTCTTACTGGTGGATAAGGTCTGGGACACATCTGTTCATTTGTGAGGGTCAGTGTGCCTGGCATGGAGATCAGTGGGGAGTTTTTTTTGTTTGTTTTAATTTTATTTAATGTTTATTATTTTTGAGAGAGAGAGAGAGAGAGAGCGCGCGCGTGCAAGCGGGGGAGGGGCAGAGAGGGGAAGACAGAATCTGAAGCAGGTTCCAGGCTCCGAGCTGTCAGCACACAGCCTGCTGCAGGGCTTGAATTCACGAACCGCGAGATCATGACCTGAGCTGAAGTCGGATGCTTAACCCACTGAGCCGCCCAGGTGCCCCAAGACCCATGGAGTTTTGATGCACTTTTTTTTTTTTTAAGTTTATTTGTTTTGAGAAAGCACAAGTAGGGCAGCAGCATAGAGAGAAGTAGAGAGAGAATCCCAAGCAGGCTCTGAGGTGGCAGTGCAGAGCCCAATATGGAGGTCAGTTGCATGACTGTGAAATATGACCTGAGCCGAAATCAAGGGTTGGACGCTTAACTGACTGGGCCACCCAGGTGCCCCTTGGTGCACTGCTAATGAAAGTTAAGTGGAGAAAGGAGGGTTGTTGCTGCTGTGGGGGCAGCATGGGCAGCACAGAAGTAGAAGAGGGTCATGGGTATCTGAGATTACCGTGTGGTTCTGGGTGACTAATATTGAAGCAGAGATCCCAGGTAGAGAGATGGGGGCACTCTGGGCTTTCCTTGTCAAAGGACGAGTGTATACCGGATCACGTTTGAAATTTTCAGGCACGCTGGATGCCATGTGCCCGGTATGTGGGTGAATTCAGGGAGATGCCTGTGATGCAGGGCAGGGAGGTGGTAGAGCTTGGGAATGCATTTGTGGGATCCAAAGATGTGAGAGAGGTCTACTGAATGATGTGCACATTAAGAATACGTATCAGCTGAAAGCCCTCTGGCCCTGGTGTTGGAGACCTTGGGGTGAAACATGAGCCCACGTGGCCATATCTTGTAGGTACAATCTGTGAGATGTAGGGGAAATGCTTGGTAAGAGGGATGGGGCCCTGCGGGCCAGGCCCGGAGCTTACTTGGCGTTCATGTGCGCTGCTGCCTGTTGTTGCTGAGAGCCGCTGTCGGGCCCTAGGGCCTGGTACCTCTTCTAGGGTGGGGAGCTGTGGAGGAGGATGAATGTGGAGTAGATGTGAGAGGCGGATTGTGGGTTCTCAGAGAAAGAATGTTCACGGTTTCATCTGTCCCACTTTTGACAGGGTGGTGTGACCTTTGAGGATGTCGTCGTGTACTTCTCCCAGGAGGAGTGGAAGCTCCTTGATGAGGCTCAGAAACGCTTGTACCATGACGTGATGCTGGAGAACTTTGCACTTATATCCTCACTGGGTACGACCCTCCCCAATGATGCGGACTAGCTTTTGCATTTCTCCACCCATACCCCTCTTCTCCCAGGGTCTTCTCTGTCATTCTCTTTTCTTTCTTTTTTCTTTTTTTTTTTTTTAACATTTATTTGTTATTGAGAAACAGAGACAGAGCATGAGCATGGGAGGGGCAAAGAGAGGGGGAGACACAGAATCCGAAGCAGGCTCCAGGCTCTGAGCCGTTAGCACAGAATCTGATGCAGGGCTCGAACCCACAAGTGGTGAGATCATGACCTGAGCCGAAGTCGGACACCCGACTGAGCCACTCAGGCGCCCCTTCTCTGTCGTTTTCATCATGTGGACCATAGGTACTGCTTGCTTTCCCAGTGTCCTGGATAGTTGCTGTGCTAGGTAGGGCTGTTGTTTGCACTGCTGTCTTCTCTCCCCACAGGCCCAGTACTGTCCTTACTGAACCTTTACAGGAAGGATTGATTTCAGTAGTCTTGCAATCAGGCTAATGGATGGCATCCTGTTCGTTCTCTCCCTGGCCAGGTCATCTTTCTAGGTCCATGGCACTTCTGTGTCCTTAGTTTTGTTCCCTTTTCAGTCTGAGATTTCATTGTGCTTGTCTGTGCTGGGTATTGCAGGCATTATCTTGACTATTATTTACATGAACCATAGACTGTCTTTCAGTACTCTCCTGTACGGTTCTGTTTATAGTGTTCAGACGACTTTTTTCTTTTTCCTTTTTACCAGCTTTGTTGAAGTATCATTGACCAATAATTTTGTATATATTTATATTTAAAGTGTATAGTGTTAGGACCTTGATATTCGTGTACATTATGAAATGGTTACTACAGTTGATTTAACATGCATCACTTTACATGTTTTTTGTGTGTTAAGAACCCTTAAGATATATTTTCTTGGCAAATTCAAGTGTACAGGACAGCATTATTAGTGATAATCACCGTGGTGCATATTAGATTCACAGAAGTTGATCAGCTTGTAACTGACCAATATCTCTGTTTCCCATAGCCCCCAGCTCCTGGCATTCTACTCTTTGCTTTTTTGGGTTGAACTCTTTTCTTTCTTTCTTTCTTTCTTTCTTTCTTTCTTTCTTTCTTTCTTTCTTCCTTTCTTCCTTTCTTCCTTTCTTCCTTTCTTCCTTTCTTTCCTTTCTTTCCTTTCTTTCCTTTCTTTCCTTTCTTTCCTTTCTTTCCTTTCTTTCCTTCTTTCCTTTCTTTCTTTCTTTCCTTTCTTTCCTTTCTTTTTTTAATTTCACATAGAAGTAATACCATAGAGTATTTGTCTTTCTCTGACTTATTTCACTTTGCATTATGCTTTCCAAGTTTATCCATGTTGTCATAAATGCATGATTTCCTTTTTTGTGACCGAACAATACTCCATTGTATATATATGCAGCAGGGTTTATTTATCCATTCATCCATAGATACTTAGGTTATTCTTATACCTTGGATATTGTGAACAGTGCTGCAATATATACAGGGGTGCAGATACCTCTTTGAGATAGTCATTTCCTTTTCTTTGGATATGTACAAAGAAGTAGGATTGGTGGATTATAGGTAGTTCTATTTTTAATTCTTTCAAGGTTTTTTTTATTTTTTAAAGTAATCTCTACACCCAAAGTGGGGCTTGAACTCATAACCCTGAGATGAAGAGTCTCATGCGCTTCTCTTTTTTTAAATGTCTATTTTTAAATTTTTTAATGTTTTATTTTATTTTTGAGACAGAACATAAGCGGGGGAGGGGCAGAGAGAAAGGGAGACATAGAATCTGAAGCAGGCTCCAGGTTTTAGCTGTCAGCACAGAGCCCGATGCAGGGCTTGAACTCACGAGCTTGAACTCATGAACCGCGGAGATCATGACCTGAGCCGAAGTTGGTGCTTAACCAACTGAGCTACCCAGGCGCCCCTGTTTTTTCTATATCTGTGAAAAATGTCATTGGATTTGTTATGAATTGCACTGAATCTGTAGATTGCTCTGGGTTGTATTGCTCTGGTAAAGTGGACTTTTTAACAATATTAACTCTTCCAGTCTGAGAACACGGGGTGTTTTTCCATTTGTGTCTTCAATTTTTTTCATCAGTTTCTTATAATTTTCAAGATAAAGATCTTTCACCTTCTATGTTAAATTCATTTTGAGTATTTTTTTCTCTTTGATGCTGTTATAACCTGGAAACAGACCATTTTACTTTCATTCTGTTTGGCTGCCTTTTATTTTTCTTCCTTAATTATTTGGGGCTAGAACTTTTAGTTCTATGTTGAATAAAAGTAGAGAAGGTGGGGCACCTGGGTGGCTCAGTCAGTTGAATGTCTGTCTCTTGATTTCGGCTCAGGTCATGGTCTCATGGTGTGTGGGATTGGGCCTTGCATTAGGCTCTGCACAGACAGTTCAGAGCCAGCTTGGGATTCTCTCTCTCTCTCTCTCTCTCTCTCTCTCTCTCTCTCTCTCCCCCCCCCCCCCCCCTCCCCCTCCCCCCCTCCCCCTCTC